TGGATAAATTCCTAGAAACATATAACCTACCTAGACTGAAATCATGAAGAAATTAGAAATCAATAATGAGTGATCAATAATGAGTAAGGAGAATGAATACTAATTAAAAGTCTCCCATCAAAGAAAAACCCATGACCAGCTTCATAGCTGAATTCTATGAAACATGTAAAGAAGAACTAATACCAGTTATTCTCAAACCCTTCCACAAAATTAAAGAGGAAGGAATATTTTCCATACTCCAAAATTCATTTTACAAATCCAGCATTATCCTGATACCAAAGCCAGATAAACACTACAAGAAAAGAAAACTGCAGGCCAATTTCTATGATGAACATAGATATAAAAATTCTCAACAAAATATGAGCAAACCATATTCAACAGGACATTAATAGTATCATTCACCATTATCAGATGGGATTTATTCCTGGGATGCACATTTGGCTCAAATCAATAAACGTGATTCATTATACTAGCAGAATAAAGGACAAAAGTCATATGATTATCTTGACAGATGTAGGAAAAGCACTTGAGAAAATTCAACATCATTTCATAAAAATTCTCAACAAATTAAGGATAGAAGAAACATTCCTCAATAAAGGCCATATATGACAAGCCCACTGCTAACATCATACCCAAAGGTGAAAAGTTGAAAGCTGTCCTCTAATATCAGGAACCAGACAAGGATACCCACTTTCCACTTCTGTTAAATATATTATTAGAAGTCCTAGCCCAAGCAATTTGGCAAGAGAAATAAAAGGTATCAAATAGGAAAGAATGAAGTGAAATTGTGTCTATTGCAACAACAATCTTATGTATACAAAATCCTAAAGAATCCACCAAAAATCTATTAGAACTGATAAATTCAGTAAGGTTGCAGGATACAAAATCAACTTACAAAAATCAGTTGTGTTTCATTTCTTTCTTTTTTTTTTTTGAGACAAAGTCTCACTCTGTTGCCCAGGCTAGAGTGTAGTGGCATCATCATAACTCACTGCAACCTCAAAATCCTGGGCCCAAGCAATTGTCCTGCCTCAGCCTCCCACATAGCTGGAATTATAGGTGCACACCACCACTTCCAGGAAAATTTTCTATTTTTTGTAGAGACGGGGTCTTGCTGTTGCTCAGGCTTGTCTCAAACTCCCTGCCTCAAGCAATCCTCCTAGAGTGCTAGATTTACAAGCATGAGCCATAGAACCTGGCCTATAGTGTTTCTATATACTAACAATGAACTGTCTGAAAAAGAAATTCAGACAGCAATCCCATTTATATATAATAGCATAAAAAAATACTTAGGAGTAAATTAAACTAAGGAAGTGAAAGATCTGTATACTGAAAAATTATAAATCATTGATGAAAGAAATTGGAGATTACACAAATAAAAAGTACCCCTTGTTCATTAATTGGAAGAATTAATTTTGTGAAAATGTCCATACTACTCAAAGTATCCTACAGATTCAATGTAATCCCTATCAAATTCCAATGTCATTCTTACAGAAATAGAAAAACCAATCCTAAAATTTGCATGGAATCACAAAAGACTCTAAACAGCCAGAGAAATCTTGACCAATAAGAACAAAGAGAGGCATCATACTACCAAATTTCAAAATATATTACAAAGCTATAGTAATCAAAATAGCATGGTACTAGAATAAAAACAGACACATTGACTGATGGAATAGGATAGAGAACCAAGAAATAAACCCACACATCTATGTTCAATATATTTTTTGACCAGGGCACCAAGAACAGACAATGGAGAAAGGACAGTTTTATCAATAAATGGTGTTGGGAAAACAGAATATCCACACATAGAAGAATGAAAATGGATGCTTATCTCTTATACAAGAATCAACTCCAAATGGATTAAAGACTTGAATGTAAAAAAACTAAAAATATAATTACCATACAACAATCCTACTACTGGGTATATACCCAAAGAAATTGAAATCAGTACATTAAGGAAATGCCTGCACTCCCATGTTTATTGCAGCATTATTGATAATAGCAAAGATATGGAAACAACCTATGTGCCCATCAATGGATGAATGAATTTAAAAATGTAGTATATACTCACAATCAGTCTTAAAAAAAAACCCAGAAAATTTTGTCATTTGCAACAACATGGATAAACCTAAAGGACATTATGTTAAGTGAAATAAAGCAAGCACAGAGAGATAAGTACCTCAGATTCTCACTTATATGTGGAATCTAAAAAAAAAACCCAACTCATAGAAGTAGATGATAAAATAGTGGTTACCAGAGGCCGTGAGGGGTGAGGGACAGGAATAGGGAAGACATCAGTCAATGGGTACAAAACTTCAGTTATACAAGAGTAAGTTCTGGTGTTCTACTGCACAGCATGGTGATTATAGTTAATAATAATGTACCATACATTTAAAAATAGCTAAAAGAGGATTTTAAATGTTCTAACCACAAAGAAATGATACATATTTGAGGTTCTGGAAATACTGATTAGCCTGATTGGATCATTCCGCAATGAATACATTTATCAAAATATCATATTGTACCCCGTAAAATATATACAATTATTGTTAATTAAAAATAAAACCTACAAAAAGAGAAAGAATGAGAGGAGAGAATTGAAGACAATGAGTGTAGCACTTTTACTCTAATGAGGACAGAAATAGGGCAGTAACTGAAGGAGTAGTGGGGTCAAGCAAGGATTTTTTTGAAAGACAGGAGAAAAAACTGGTTTGTCTGCTGATAGGGAATCCTTATAAAAAAGATTATCTGATAATGACCTGTGAACTTCTTTGAAATGTTAGGATGACAGTAAAGGCAGGGGAAGGGAATTAAAGTGCAAGTCATCTCTTGAGGGTAGCCACAATTTGTACTACAAAGGAGCTGTGGTTGTGGTTGTGGTTGGATAGAGATTTCCCTCACAATTAATCCCGGGCTATTTATTTGTTAAAGAGCCTCATCAGCACACTACATAATGCTTAATGTTCAGCCATTACTTCTATAGCTATGTAACAGACAAAGCAGCAATGCTTGCATCTCATCCACAGTGGAGGTTATTATACATTACGATAGTAGGTGATGTGTGTATGTGTGTGTGTATACTGTGTGTATATATATATATAATCTGTGTATATTTACATAAATATTTACATATAGTGTGTGTATATTTATATAGACATACCTCAGAGAGACTCTGGGTTCAGTTCAATGCCACAACAATAAAGCAAATATTGTAATAAAGTGAGTCACACAGATTGTCTGGTTTTCTAGGTCACATAAAAGTTATATTTACACGCAAATTAGAAAACAAAAGAAAAAAATGAACAAAAACTTATATTTACACCATTCTATAGTCTATTCAGTGTCCAATAGCATTATGTCTAAAAACGTACATATCTTAATTTTAAAAGACTTTCTTGTTAAAAATGCTAATGATCATTTGAGCCTTCAGTGAGTTGGAGTATTCAGAACACACACAACATTTATATATTAAGTTTGCCATATTCTATAGGCATGATTCATGATGTCCCAAAACAACCATAATTGTAACTTCAAAGATCCTTGACCACAGATCACCATAACAGATTTATATAATGAAAAAGTTTGGAATATTGCAAGAATTATAAAAATGTGACATAGAGACACAAAGTGAGCATATGCTATTGAAAATATGGCACCAATAGACTTGCTTGATGCAAGGTTGCCACAAACCTTCAATTTGCAAAAAAATGCAGTATCTGCAAGGTGTAATAAAGCAAACACAATAATACAAGGTATGCCTAAATATATATATACGTGTGTATATATTATGTATATATTATATATGTATATATTATGTATATATGTATATATCATATTATATATGTATATATTATGTGTATACACATATATATGTATATACACAAACACACACAGCTATAATGGGTGCTATGTATTATACATTGCTATATGTGTAATGTAGATAGTTGGAAACCCAGAATTCCGTTCTAGCTCTAATAGTCTTTGAGCTCATCACACCACATAAAACATCTAGGTGGCTTATAAAAGTGACAACTTAGAATATACATAATATGTGGGAAAGGGATAGAAAATGGAGTTGAAGGAGTAGGCAAGGGCCAGATCATGTGTGACTAACAGGTGGTCACATTACATGTCATAGAAGGAGTGCTAAAATGAAGTGTGCACATAGTTCTGGGAGCTTGCAAATAGGCACATCCAATCCACTTTGCAGTGGTGCAGGGTGGTAGCAACAGCTGATAACAGGTGATCAAAGGGGGCTCTGGATAAGTCAAGAAAGTCCAAAAGATCTAATCCAATCAGGACAGAGTCTTGAAGAACACTCAGGCACTAGTCAGGCTACCAAGAAGTCAACCCATGCTCACAGATCTTTCTTTTTCTTTCTTTTTTTTTTTTTTTGTTATCTATACATTTTTATTTTCTGGAAGATTTTTGAAAGAGTCATCTAGTTTAGCCTCCTGTCTCTAAATATGCCTATGCCCATAAAGCTATTTTTGTTTATTTTTTTATTTTTAAATTTTTTATTTTTTCATATTATGGGGGTACAAATATTGTTAGGATTACATATATTGCCCCTGCCATTCCTCCCCCACCTCACAGATCTTTCTAATGCCGTCCCCCTCCTCCTCAGTCTTGAGCTGGGGCCAATCACATGAGGATCTCAGGAGCTTTCCCCTTCAGTGTTTCAAAGATGCTGCTTGGTCTGGGATACAACTGGCCTCCCCCATCTCTTTCTAGACTACTGTAGCTATCTCCTGATGGTTTCCCTGCTTCCAGTATCTACCTCCCACTTTCAGTTCACCATGCAAAACTACCATTCCAGAATTACCTTTCTCAGCATAGGAATTATGGACTGCTCCTGTGCTCCATGATAGTAATAAACTTAGGTGGGTCCCCATTCACGACCACAGGATGAAGGCAGACTCCTCAGGGTCCCATACTAGCACCCACACTCCCCCCACGGGACACCCCCCACACTAGCCCCACTCCACTCTTCCGGCCTCTGCTCCTGCCACCTCTCCCATTATCTCCACATCAGTTCTTCTCTCTACAGATAAGTGCAGTTCTCTTCATGTCCATGCCTATGGTTACATTCTTTCCTTTATCTGCATTCTCTTCACTTTTTTCTGCTTGGGGGAGAGAGAGATTAATAAAATCAAAAAGTTTCCATAGAGTGAAAAATGAGGGCCCCATTGAAAACAAAACAAAAATCTTACTAAACATGTTATGAGGGGTGGAAGAAATTCATAGAGAAAATTAATAAACTTGAAGAAACTTAAATATAACCTGATTATTCTTCCTCTACAGGGGTGGGAAAACAGGTAAATTCGTGAAATCGTTCCTTACAATAAAGAGATCTCATGTTGATACAATGGACTGTAGGGCAGTTCAAGAAGTACATTGGTTCTCAACCTTTCTCCCGATTAAAGTCATGCTACATGCCATAGAGTCGAAGTTAAATTTGGTCCAGAAAGTCTAGCTCCAGAAAGTCTAGCCAATAATGTGGGAAATAACCCTTGACAAGAATGTCAGTTCTTAAAGACGCACATCCTGGAAATGTATGAAGAAAATTTTGGACTCCGAAATACTTGCAAGTCAAGATCCGGGGCTTTAATTAACATTCTGGAAGACAAAATTAATAAATAAATAAAACCCAGATGAAATATTAAGAACAAATATTTAAAGAAACTAATAACAACCCAAATATCTCTGATGAAAGGACTGGGTTAAAGATACGATCTATGGGCTTGAAGAAGTCTGCCAAAACATGTTGAAATATCTGCTTGTCATGCTGTAATCAGATAAAAACATTATGTGAAGAAATGGGATAAGATTTTGGAAAGATAGAAATCTATACAGATGTTAGAAGTAATTCTAAGGAAGGCTACAGTTTTCAAAAATATAAAAATATTCCTAATGAAGGTAGAGGCAATGAAGAGAAGGTAAAATTTAAACTCCTGCTTCCTATAAAAATAGAATCACCACATGACTGAGCAAAATCTGTTCCAGGGATGCAATCACCGCTTCATGAAGGTATCTATAGTTTCATGTTCATAGAAGCATTATTTATAATAGTCAAGATATGGAAACAACCTACGTGTCCCTCAACAGACAAATGAATGAAGAGAATGTGGTATATACACACATGGAATATCATTCAGCCTCAGAAAAGAATGAGATCCTGGTCAGGGTGGTGCATGCCTGTAGCCCCAGCTACTCAGAAGGCTGAGGCGGGAAGATCCCTTGAGCCCAGGAGTTCAAGGCACCAGGTATGATGGTGCCATTGCACTCCTGCCTGGGCGACATAGCAAGACCCCCTTCTCCAAGAAATAAAAGTAAAAAATTAAAGAAATCTATGATAAATAACATACAAGAAAAAAAAAAAGAAAAAGAAAAAAAGAGTAAAAATGTAAAAAAAAATTTTTTTTAAGAGAATGAGATCCTCCCACTTGCCACAACTTTATGACCTAGAAAACATTATGCTAAGTGGAATAAGCCAGACACAAGAAAGAAAAACTTGCATGATCTCACTTGTATATAGACTCTTAGAAAAAGAGATCAGATATACAGAGATAGACAATAAAACAATGGCTACCTGGGGCAGGAAGAGGGAAATAGAGAAAATTAGGTAAAAGAATACGAAGTAGTAAATATGTAAGATGAACATATCTAGAGATCTAGTGTACAAAAGGAAGACTATAGTAAATAAAATTATATCATATTAGGAATTTTTGTTAAATAAGTAAATTTTAGCTGCTCTTATAAAAAAAAATAATAATACATTGGCCTGGCATGGTGGCTCAGGCCTGTAATCCTAGCACTCTGGGAGGCCGAGGCGGGCGAATTGCTCAAGGTCAGGAGTTCAAAACCAGCCTGAACAACAGCGAGACCCCATCTCTACTATAAATAGAAAGAAATTAATTGGCCAACTAGTATATAGAGAAAAAAAATTAGCCGGGTATGGTGGCGCATGCCTGTAGTCCCAGCTACTCAGGAGGCTGAGGCAGGAGGATTGCTTGAGCCCAGGAGTTTGAGGTTGCTGTGAGCTAGGCTAATGCCATGGCACTCACTCTAGCCTGGGCAACAAAGCGAGACTCTGTCTCAAAAAAATAAAAAATAAAAATAAATAGAAAGAAATTAGCTAGACAATTTATATATATATATATATATATATATATATATATATATATTTATTTAAAAAATTAGCTGGGCATAGTGGCGCATGCCTGTAATCCCAGCTATTCGGGAGGCTGAGGCAAGAAGTTCACTTGAGCCCAGGAGTTTGAGGTTGCTGTGAGCTAGGCTGATGCCACAGCACTCAAGTCTGGGCAACAGAGTGAGACTATGTCTCAAAAAAAAAATAATAATAATAACTACGTGAGATGATAGATATATTATTTGTTCCACTATAGTAACCATTTTACTACCTATTTGTATCCTATAACATCATGATGTAAACTTTAAATATACACAAGAAGATTTATTTAAAAAGAAAAAGAAAAAAAAGACAGAAGAGCATGTAGGAAAAAGTAGCAGCTTGGAATTAGGAATTTACTAACTGAGGCGACAAACCTAATTAATTCCAGTCTCAGAAAGACATAGAAGAACTCTTGTTGCAAGGAAAATGAAATTGCAAATTGTAATCACTGCATCGTGCAACTGAAACAGTCAGATCTTTATTCTGAATCAGATCTCAAATATAATATAATGAAAAAGAGAATGAAAGGTGTAAATTAGCTAATGGGTAACAGGTACATCATTGGAATGAGGAGCCAAAAGATCAGAAAAGAGAGGTGATTTATATCCTGTTTGTAGACTCTATATTAATATTAGTTGAGAATGTTAAGAGACAGTCTAGAATCCAAAATAAGGATTGGAGTGTGAATGAGGCATGAACGGGAAGAATAAAAAAAAGTTAAAACTTAGCTTTTGATCACTGCAATTAACCCAAGTACAACTGGAAAATAAATACAAAGCCCTGTAGATGAAAATAGAGGCTTTTAAAAAACTTCCTGAGCAGATAAACATTCTTCGAAAGAAATTGATTCAGTAAGAATGTAAGGACTGAACAGAAAATGTTCAGATGTAGAGAAAACCAACATTTATAGGCACAGAATTCAAGAAATGGAGGATGGATTTCAGAAACAGTTTCCACAAATAGCGATTTGCTATTATTATCAAGAGAAAAACAATGGCAACTGACTCCTTGCTTATGCTACTAAAAGAGAACTTACTAGAGAAAAGAAAAAAGTAATCAGTGTAAGATAAAAACCAAAAAATAACTATGCTTCAAAGAGCAGTGATTAGGATGAGTTGATCATCAAATCCCTACACAGGGATTTTCTGAGATGATTCTGTTGACTCATTCCCATGCCAGCCTACCCCAACCCATTAAAGACTGTTTCTTTGACTCTCTCATCTACTTTTAATTAAATAGATGTGTCAAAAGTGAACTTGAGACTGTGGATAGGCCTCTACCTAAACTGAGAGCTTCTTAAGAAATATCTGTATAAATATCTACTTCTGATCTGTGGTCTCTTTCATCTGTGAACTTGGCCAGGATGTCCACTGCCCTCCCACCTGAGTGGTACAGCACTCTATCAGCCCCTCCTCCAGTGCACCTTAATCAGTCAGATGAGACTGAAGAAGGCTGAGAAATCTCTTTTCTGAACCTGAGACCCTGAGACAGAGAAAGTGCATCTACCTGTTCCTGCGATGAAATTTATGTGATTTATTTCAGGGGTCATCAAACTTTTTCTACAAGGACCAGATAGGAAATATTGTTGGCTTTGTGGGCCATATGACCTCTGTTGTAACTGTTCTACTCTGCCATTGTAATGTGAAAAGACAGTAACGGATAATAGGTAAATGAATGGGCACGGCTGTGTTCCAATAAAACTTTATTTATATATCACACAGTGGGCTAGATTTGGCCCTCAAGCAATAGTTTGCTGAGCCCTGATTTATCTGACAAAAATTTTGCTTCAGAGCTAGACCTTGGTGCTACTTAATTTAGGAGCAGTGATCAAAACATTCTCTTCTGTCCACACCTATGAGAGTTGGAAAATCTTACCTACCATTCATCATGGAGATAACTTGACCATCTGTGGTCCAGATGTGATCTATCTGGCCTATTTGTAATTGAAGAGAAGCATCTACTAATGGGCTGGAACCTGGAAACTGACCAAGGCACCACCTCTTCAGATGTAGCCTATTTTTTTTTCTTTCCCCAAAATGACTGCAACACTATTTCCAGTCTTAACTGCTCTCCCAGAAACTTTCCTCTCCGTCAGTCAAGAGGTGATCTTTCACCCTTGAATGTGGTGATTCTTTGTGATGTCATCAAAAATAAGACTTCCAAGACTAAGTCATGCAAGGCAATACAGCTCTTATCTAGCATGCTCTGTCTTTTTTTTTGGGGGGGGGATACTGCCCTTGAAATTCATTGCCGTGAATAAGAGACCTAGGCCACGTGTAAGTGTTGCAGTCAATAGCCCAGGTAAGATCCCAGCTGACAGCCACCATCAACCAGAGATACGTAAGTAAGGAAAGTTTCGAGATGACTCTTGCTCAGTCTTACAACTGAGCAAGAACCACCTGAGCTCATTCAATGCTCCCAAACCATAAGAAATAATAATAACATGATCATCGTTGTTTTAACCCATTAAGATCGGGGTGGTTCATTATGCAGGATATAGAACTGGAACATATTTGGGTAACTGAAGTTGGGGTGCTGCCATAATAAAACACAAGGCAGTGGCTTTCGGAGCAGCAGGGGGAGGAAGTTGAAGGGCCTTGAAGACATTGTTAGCTGAAGCCTTCCTTGATGGCTCTCAAGGTGGCTGTTTGTGAGGCTTCAAGAAAAGTGAGGAAAATGTCTTTGGAAGTTGGAGAAAAGGAGACTCTTGTTATATAGTGGTGGGAAGTTTAGCAGAGTTGTGACCTCTGGTAACATGGAAAATAGATAATGTGTCTGATGAACTGATGGGTCCAGCTAAGGGGATTTCCAGAGAGATGTCAGAAGCGTCACCTAGTTTCTTTAAGCTGCTTATCGTAAGGTACAGATAGAGTTAAGCAAAAGAAAGAGTTGTTACCTGTTAAGGATCAGCAAAACTAAAAATAGAAC